TCTGACACAGAGAGGGAAAGGGACTGTGGGCTGAAAACTGGGGGATGGAGGGGAAACTGTAGGGGGCGGGTTTCTGGGATATACCCTTTGGGTGGTTGATGATGCATGGAGGGGATTGGAACCATGGCAGTGAGATGATATACGATGAAATGAATGTAAAACTAAAGTTCTCCCATGTAAATTATCATATAATTCACAATAAAACATTAAAAAAAATTAAATGGGAACCTTTTCAACTATGAGCAAAGGCAATTTTCTTTGGTTGTTGCTATTGTTTTTGCAAAGTATACTGTCAACACAAATATATAGAAATGGTAGTAGCAAATCCATACTGTCAAATATATCACTGTCAGCTGCATTTGGTCCTAAACAAACACAGAGTAATATTATTAGTTAAACAATGGCAGACATAGGAGTTTCTAAGTTTTGAGATAGGAAATGAAAGAATAATACTGAACAAACTTTTGGAAACATAACTTTTCCATAAACATTTCCATCTAAGAAGGACACAAATGAAAATAGAGTCCATGGACTATAATATGATCTGGATGCAAAGGTTCATTAGCTGTAGATTGGTCATGTAATGACAGGAACAAAAAACATCACAAATATACATGTATCTTTGGTTTTGATTGTAGGATTTTAAGAGATGAGAACAAAAATGAATACATGATATTTTCTTTTTAACATAAATGATCATGATGATGTTTTTGTTTGTCACCTTGGCTTATTGTTGTTGTTAAGTGACCTTTAGTTGGATTGTGACTCAAAGCAACCCTGTATAGGGCTTCTGAGGAGAGGCTTGATGGGTTTGCTAGCAGTCCAGTGTTGATCCTACAGCATCCTACCAGCTGTTGTTGTTAAGTGCCGTCGAGTCGATTCTGACCCCTAACGACCCTATACAGGGTTTCCAAGGCTATAAATCTTGACAGGAGTAGAAAGCCTCAACTTTCTCCTGCGAAGCAGCTGGTAGTTTCAAACTGCTGACCTTAAGGTTCGCAGCCTGATTTGTAACCACTACGCTATAATGTTCCTTTTAGTCAAACATGAATCTAAGTGTTGCTATGAAGGTACTACATAGATGGGGTGAATGTTTATAAGCAGCAGAATATAAATAAAGCTTATTCTTGATGACATAAATAGGCCTCATCAAGTCAATTGGAAGGCCTTAAGAAACAAAAATTGAGTTTTCTCAAAGAGTAGATATTCAGCCTTAAAATTACAGCATCCATTCCTACTTAGTTTCCAGATTAGTCCTAAGAGGGAGCTTCAATAAGTTCATTGAAGAATAGAATTGAACAATGCTAAATCAATACATAATTTTAAAAATAAAGAAAAAAATTCCACAAACTTTTTTAAGCCCCCTTGTGTGCATATATAAGGACTCCTGGTGGCACTGAGGTTGGTGATCCAAGCCAGCAGCCTTTCCACAGGAGAATAATGAGACTGTTGGCTCCAATAAATTATTGTTGTTGTTGTTGTTGTTAGGTGCCATCGAGTTGTTACCAACTCATAGTGACCCTAATCACAGCAGGATGAAACAATATCTGATCCTGGGCCAACGTCACTACTGTTGCCACACTTGAGTCCACCTATGCTGCCATGTGGACAATCCATCTAGTTAGGGGTCTTCCTCTTGAAATGGTTGAACATTAACCATTTCCTTTTGGTACAGTGACAACAAACTAACAGATGAGTGATGGTGCTACATTACCAGTAGGATGGTATTTGATGCAATCGCTTTGGAAAACAGCATGGCTATTCTTCATAACGTTGCAAATGGAAATACCCCATGAAACAGCAATTCCTCTACTTGTTATCTTTTCACAAGAAATAAGAGTCATAACATGAGCAAATATGTGCATAACCAGGTTCATTTTAGCACTATTCACACTGCAAAAGAATGGAGACAGCCTAAATAACCATCTATGAAAGAATGGATAAACAAATTTTGATACATACACACAATGGACTACTATGCACCACTGAAGAATGATGATGAATCTGTAAAACATCTCATAACACAAATTGATCAAATAATTTAACAGCTACAAATAAAATGTCCAGGCACAAATGGTTTTACAGGTTAATTCTATTAAACATTCAGAAAAGTGCTAATACTAATTTTCTTAAAAACTTCAGAGTATAGAAAAGGATGGAGAACTCCTGAATTCATAGCCCTGATACAAAAATCAGGTAAAGACATCAGTCAAAAGGAAAATTACAGACCAATATCCCTCATGAACATGTTGTTGTTAGGTGCCACCAAGTTGATTCTGACTCATAGCAACCTGATACACAACATTAGGAAATACTGCCCGGGTTTCACCATCCTAATAGCCTAGTGGTTAAAAATCGGGCTGTGAACCTTAAGGTCAGCGGTTCAAAACTACCAGCTGCTCCGCGGGAGAAAGATAAGGCTTTCTACTCCCGTAAAGATTTACACCCTTGGAAACCCTCTACAGGGTCACTATGGGTCGGAACCGACTCGATGGCACTTAACAACAACAACAAAAATGATCATTTTTAGCCAGCGCCCATTGCTGTTGCCACTGTGCTAGTTCATCGTGTTGGGGTTCTTACTCTTTTTTACCGTCCTTCCGCTTTACCTAACATGATACCCTTCTCCAAGGACTGGTCCTTCCTGACAGTATGGCTGAGGTCATAATTCCAGCAAATATGATGATATCCCTACCTACCTGAAGTAGTATCCATCAATCCATTGATTTACTATCTTTGTTTCCTTAAAAGCCTATTTTTTCTCAAATTATTACCTTTATTTTACACGCTCTGTAATATCAAAACACATTTTTATAAAAATCTTCCTCATTTTTAGAACTTTTAATAAATCATGCTTCTGCCCAGCTGTAGTTTTAAATCTAGCAATCATGCTGTTGTTGTTTGATGTCACTGAGTTGGAAACTTTCTGTATAACAGAAAGAAACACTGCCTGGTCCTGGGCCAATGGCACAATCATTGCTACGCCTGAACTCATTGTTGCCACCGCTGTGTAATTCCAAATAATTTTCTTTTTTCTTCTACCCTCCAGTTTACCAAACATGATATCCTTCTCCTGTGACTGGTTCCTCTTGATAATATAGCCAAAGTATGAGAGATGAAGTCTGGCCATCCTGGATTCCATGGAGCGTTCTGGATGTACTTCTTCCAACACAGATCTATTTGTTCTTTTGGAAGTCCATGGTACTTAAAATATTCTCCTCAAACACCATAGCTCAAATGCATCAGTTCTTCTACAGTCTTCTTTATTCACTGTCCAATATTTGCATCTATATGATTTTATTGAAGACGCCATGACTTGGAACAGGCTCACCTTAGTCCTCAAACCAACATCTTTGCTCTTCAACACTAAAGAGGTCCTGAGCAGCAGAATTGCCTAATGCAATATGTTGTTTGATTTCTTGATGGCTGCTTCCCTTAGTATTGATGATTGATCCGAGCAAAATGAAATCTTTGACAACTTCAATATTTTCTTAATTCTGGTGAATGTTGTTTATTGGTCTAATATTGAGGTCCAGAATAAATGAGGGACTCCAAAAATGCATCAGAAACTGAATAGCAGATTTGCAGGCCTGGGTATGAACACTAAAATTTTAAATTTGAGTCAACTACTATGAACCAATTTCTCTGATCAAGAGGAGAATATGTTCTTTGAATACCCGATACAATCACAAACACACACATTCCAATGCATTACTGATAAATCCATATTACAACTTCTGCAGCCACTAAACTATTTCTGTCCTTAGGGTGGTCTGTGATATCTTCATTGCACATTCTGGATGCATATAGGAACAGCAGGAGTTTTCTGTAAAATGCCATACTTAGAAAATATTAGCAGTATCACACATACTAATTTCAAGTTTTAAGGTAGAAGTATAAGTTACTTTAAGTTTAAAAATGAGTTAGACACAAGAAGTTAGCATACCGAGGAACTGATAGTGAATAGAGTAAAAATAATAATTCAAAATGCTTATTAAAGTTTAGATCCTTTAACTCACCCTTATAATAGAGATGATAAAAACCCAATATATTGTCACCTGGTCAATTATGACTCACATAACTATAGAAAGCAGAGAACAACTGTTCCTTAAAGCTTCCAATGCTGTCTGCAGAGTCGCTGCTGGGTTCAAATCACACCAACCATTAGCAGTAATGTGTTAACTACTGCATCACCAGGGCTCATTACAGGTTTTATACTAAGGTTGTTAAGTGCCACTGACTCAGTTCCAACTCATAGAGACCCTGCATAGCATTTCTGATAAGTGGCTGTTGGATTTGAACCTCTGACTTTGCAGTTAGCAGTCTAGTGCTTACTGTATAGCACCACACCAGGACAGAATTTATAGAACTATGCAACTAATACTGCAATAACAATTTTATATTAAAGTTCCAACTACTAAGAAAGATGATCATGATGTAGTGTGATTGTAAATTTTTCCCAATAATAACTTGGCAAAGATATTTACTTTCTGGTTTGATGTCATCACTACTTGAACTCTACACACCCAAAGGGGAGACTATCATTCTTCTTGAATCATTATTGATAGCTACAAAGCACTCAACATACACTTTTCTACACAACTTCTAGGCTCAGATGCTCGACACACTTTGAATCATTTTGTTTGAGTAAATAATTACTATTTTGTATTTGATAATCTCTAGTACTTTCTAGATGCCTAGAATTCTAATGAGAATTAATTTAAATACAAATTGAATTTCGTACTTAAAGTACAAAAGGATTCTGTGAGTTTAGAAAAATCCACACATTGGAACACAATTAAATATACTTTATAGTGATCAATTTTAGAATGGAAACCAAATAAAAGATTAAATAGGAAATAAATAAATGTTTAAAGACTAAATCATCTTCTGGGTTATGAGTTCAACTCTATAAGTGTAAGTGTAAGTCAACCTGAAAAAAAAAAAAAAAATGCTGAAGAGGTCTTGTGGCCTGTAAAATTTTTCATTTGCCTACTCACCCACAGGAGACATTTCTGGGACACTGGCAACATAAGGTCCATCCAAGAACTTTGGCTCATTATCATTAATATCCTGCACTTTGATGATGAATTCTGATTCTGGCTCCAGAGGTTTCCTCGTGTCTATGTCCACTGCCTGAGCACGAAGAGTGTAGAAAGGCTTTTCTTCTCTATCCAAGCTCCGGATTGCATGAATGTCTCCGGTGGTTTCATCAATGGTAAATACAGTGCCAGCACCATCTCCTGAGAGGGTGTACTTCACAGTACCCTCTCCCTTGTCTAAGTCGGAATGGAGCTTTACCAGAAAGAGAGAAAGAGAAAAGGTACACTTATTCAAAGGGTAATCTCCTAAAAAAAAGTCATATTTAACAGTATACATTTTGAAAACATATGTAAATTTTACATTTATTTTCATTTAAAAAAATTTTAACAGAAAAACTAAAAAAAAACAAACAACTATAGTGACCACCTATATAGCTACCTGTACTGCAGACTGCATATTTGCACTTTTATCTTTTACTCTTATTACTTGTGACATATCAATTATTTTATCCCTCTTTCTGTCCATCCAAAGATTCATCATGCTCTTTGAAGAATTTCAAAGTAAGATACAGACAACAGAACAAAAATGCAGTGCTGTGCATAAAAATCATTATGTTATAGATTGGATCTATTTATTTTGTAACTATTTGGTTTTGTGTTTGTGTTTTTTTGTTTGTTTGTTTTTTCTGAAAGGAAATATAAAAATCTTAAGTACACTGATGAGTACATTTTAAAGAATTGTTTTCATGGACATTGTTGTTTGTTGTCAAATGTTGTCCACTTGCTGCAGACTCATAGTGACCCTGTATAGGGTTTAGGAGGGAACACATCTTTGCAGGAGCAGAAAAGCCTCATCTTTCTCCTGGTGAGTGGCTGATGAGCTCAAACTGCTGGACTTGTGGTTCACAGCCCTGTGCTTTTCTTACAGAGCCACGGTACTCCTGGGGTTATTATTAGTGTTAGAAATACCATCATTACAAGATAATCCTTTCTGCTTAGAGAATACAGTAACATGTAGTTAGAAATATGATGGAATATAATTCCTACCTAATCAATATTAAAGGAGCTCTAGTAGCGTAGTGGTTACGAATCAGACTGGTAACGTTAAGGTCAGCTGTTCAAAACTACCAGCTGTTCCATGGGAGAAAGATGAGTCTTTTGCTCCCGTAAAAAGATTTACAGCCTCAGAAACCCTGTACAGGGTTGCTATGAATTGGAACCTACTCCATGGCACATAACAACAACAACCAATATTGTATTCTTTAAGCTTCACTTTGAGTTGCTAAAATACCATCTTCACATTGTTATTGTTACTGTTAAGTGCCGTCAAATCAATTCTGACCTATAGTGACCCTGTATAGGGTTTCCGAGGAGTGGCTGGTGAACTTGAACCACCAACTTTGTGGTTCAAACTGACCTTGCAGTCCAGCACATTAACCCATAGCATCACTAATTTATAAACCTTTCAAGTGTTCTGAAGACAGAACACTTGATCTGAATTCAAAGATAGTTAAAGAAATCCAAAAAAACATGCAGCTGTCTCCTTTTGAGAGGAAAGATTTAGCAAGCCAGTATATTTTTCAGATGCCTTGTGCAGAGGTTAAAGCATCTTGGCTGCTAACCAAAAGGTTGGCAATTCCAATCCACCACCATAACCATGGGAGAAAGAAAATGACTCGCTATGGCAGTTTGCTGAAGATTTACGACTTTGAAAAGCCTATTGGGCAGTTCTACTTTTTGCTTTCAGTCTAAAGGAACTCCATAAGAGTGAGTTTTGGGTATGGTTGTTGATGTTGTTAAGTGCCATCAATATGGTTCCAACTCATAGCAACCTTGTAGAGCAGCGTCTCTCAATTTTACATACTGAATTCAAACAAGTTGCTCAGTGTTATTCAGGCAAATGCTTGATACAATCATTGATTATCCTTTCCTATTCTTAGAAAAATGGGTTAGTTTCATTTATTCTATAATATTTATTTATTTACTCTATAATATAATATAATAAATATTCTATAGTTTTATTCAAACATTGGATAACTTCGAAGTTAATACATATAGTTTACTATATAAAGAGACTTCAAAAAGTTTCTGAAAAAATTGAATTAAAAGACAGACAATGATTAGAAGAGACATTAGAAAATTTGCTACATCAAAGATACCCATGGAGGAAAAGTTTCAGTAGAGCTCCATGCTTAGATGAGAAATACAGAACTAATTTTTCACTTCTGAAAAATTAGCCATTAGAAATCTTATGAATGGCATTGAAATATGTCTGGTATTGTATCAACAGATAAGCCCCTCAGTTTAAAAGACATTCAAAATATGGCTGGAAAGAGCTGACTCCTTAAAGTAGAATCAGTCTTAATGGCATGGATGGAGAAAAGCTTTCAGGACCTAACTTAGCTGTTATGGCATGATTCAGAATGAGAAGAAGTAGCTACAAACATCCATTAATAATTATAGCTTATAAAATATACCAATCTAGAAAAATTTCAAAAAAGAAATGTACCATTTAAAGATCAATATCTTAGGCATTAGAGAGGTGATATGGACTATACTGGCCATTTACAATCTGTTAATCATGTGGTTTACTATGCCAGAAATGACAAATTGAAGAGAAAGTGGTATTGCATTCATCAACAAAGACATTTTAAGGTCTATCTTGAAGTACAAGTCTGTCTGTGATGGCATCTTTGTTTAATTTCCATAGGGTAGGAGTCCATAAGGTAACCTGTACATAACTACAAGGAAGACCAATTAATAAAACTATTATTCCAATTTATACACCAACCACTAAACAAAAAGATATTGAAGAATTGTACCAACTTCTGCAGTCAGAATTTGAACAAACATGCCATCAAGATGCACTGATAATTACTGGTGATTGGAAAGCGAAGTTGGAAACAAAGAGGAAAGATCGAAAGTTTGAAAATATGACTGAAAAAAAAAAAAAAAAAGACACCAAACCATACCTTCCACTGCACTGTCTGCTTCTCTATTGTGTTTGATGAACTGGTGCAATGGTCACACAGAACTCAGTCAATTAGGGAGTTTATTAGGGAAGTTAATACGTTACAATTCATGATCAGACGATGCTCAGGGCACAGTCGTTCTAATCAGCTGTTGATAAATGCACACAGGTCACACCACTTCACCATAAGCCTCAGTCTGAAGACACTCAGCTCTAGCTCCATGGGTCAACAAACCTGTCTCCTCCACTTTTGTGCTTGGAGGGACCACACTCTACGAGCAAGACTGCTGTCCAAAGTCACTCCATTTTATTTTCTCTGAAGGCTGGAAGCTGTCTGGGGCTCTGGCTCTTGGTTTGACTGTTGCTGCTCCTTTGTCATTCTCTTGGTGTCACGGCTTTCTGTTGTTGGGTGGAGTTGGTCCAATGGGCAGGGAACTCAGGCTTCATAAGGACATGCTCCTCTCGTGACTCTTGTTTGATGGTACTGAGATTCCCCTTCCTGCTTTTGAGATGTTAGGTCAAATGGGTACCAGCTTCAAGATTGGGTGAGAATCCCCACACTCCTCATGGCACTTCAGATCAGCTAACTCCTTCACTCACTCTGTCATCCCTTGTTCCCTATAGGCTAGGTCAGAGTCCATAGGATCAGGAGTCCATAAAACTCCCTGAACTTCAGACAAACAATCCCTTCCTCATCTCTCTCTCAACATATTGCTTCCTTGCTGCTTTCTCAACAACTTCCACTCATCAGTCTGACCCAGGTGGTCACCAGTGACCATACTACTCTAAGTACTTTCCAGCTCCCTCTAACTTTCAGTCCTACTTTGGAGTTTTCTCTGATGGGTACAGATTTTTCCTGCTTCAATGCATCCAACAAGAAACTGCTTGCTTGAAACTCTAAATACCAATGATTTTTCTTTCCACAAGTCTTTCCTTGAAACATAAATCTGTTCTTTCAGAAACTCTGGGTGGGGTTAAAGTTTCTACCTAAGTCCCTAACTCTATGCAAAAACCCAAGTGATTTCACCCCCAGATGACTCCATAACATCACTACATTTCTTTCAACCATTACAAATAACAATAAGCAATGACAGCCCTTCTCTATACGGCAGTTGTGAGGATGACACGGTTCCTGCTTAAGCCACTGTGCCACTAGGGCCTCTATATTTACAAAGTGCTCTTTCAAAATATCATCTTATGTGTCTAAAAAAAAAAAAAAGGCTCTAGGTCCTTTCCCAACTAACCTTTTCAGACATCCTATTGTGTTTCATCTATGTGTGGCCAAGGTGTTTTGAGTGGAGAACACAATTCTAGTTCTCCCTAAAATGCCTTTTTAAAATTACTGGTAGAGCCAGGTCACCAGTGGTATCCATGGGGGCACTTGCCAGAAGACATACAAGTCAGGACCCCTACTTGTTAGCCTGGAATCTGGAAGTGTTCATACTTAAGTTTCTGGGGATTTGGCTTGAGACCAGCTATTCTAACCCAAAGGTTAATGTGTACAGGCAAAAGCACAAATGGTTCAAATGCCCTTACTCTCTAAACTCACCCCATCCCCAGGTCCACATGGACATATCCAGGAGCACAGTTTGCAAGGAAAAAAATAATAAAAAGCACAGGTCTAGACTGAGCCTCTCTTATCAGAGATGGACAAATGGGCGCAAAGACCAACCTTTCTAGGAGAATCCCAGAGGAGAAATTTACTTAAAACATTTTTCAAAAGAAATTGACTTGTCTATATTTTCATTTTTTTGTTTCTAAATTAACATACTGTAATATTAACTTTGGAGTCCTGGTGTGGTGCTGTGGGTTAATGAGCAAGACTGCAAAGCCATTTGAACTGCAAGGTCGGCAGTTCAAGCTCACCAGCTGCACCAGAAACCCTATAGAGGGTCGCTATGGGTCAGAACCGACTCGACAGCACTTAACAACAACAACAATATTAACTTTTGTTATATTGTTGTTAAATGTTGTCCAGTCTGTTCCAACTCATATAAACCCTGTTAGGGCTTCCAAACAGCAGCTGGTACGTTAGAACTGTCAACCTTGTGGTTAGCAGTCCAGTGCTTGCTTGTTCTTTAGGGGTGTACAATTCTGTAAGTCTATCCATTTGCTTACCACTATGACTAGGTCAGAGCAGTTCCTTCACCCTCCAAAATTCCATTAAGCCCTTGCCCCACTTGGAAACACTGACCTATACTTTGTCCCTATAGATTTGCTTTCCCCAGAATGTCACCTAAGTGTCATCATACATGATGTAACTTATGCATACTGACTTCTTT